TTTTTAAGGCCTTCACACAATTGAAAAAAATTAAAGTCGAGCATGTTAAAACCCTGTTCATTTATAAAATAAAAAATAGAACTTTATAGGTCTGCAGGTAAAAGTTCTGTTCAAAATCTCATGCATGTAACAGCTGCAGCCCAACTGGAAGTCCTTGGTGCTGGCAGTCAGGGCACAGCTCGCCGCCAGTAAGGTGAGGCGTTGCGGAAACACCATGATGTCAGAGGTCTAGATTTACATGATTTACCAAGCCACACGCCAGCAAACTCTCTGATAAATACACATCACTTTAATAATCAATATTTGACAGCGGATGAAAACATGCATTAGACTAAAAATGCCACAAATTTGGTTTTATATCCATTCACTATAAAACTTCCTTTTTTAAAATTTGAAGTCTTGGTTCCAATTTTAGAATACACAATAATCAGGAGGATACATGATGGGGAGCCAGTTTTCAGTAAAAGATGCACAGTGAGTCCATCCAAGTAGCTTCATCAGCTATAATAAAACACACACAAGTATGAAAGAACAGGTTTTTCAAGCTCAGTATTTAGGGTAAGTTCTGCATTAAATATTTAGTAATAAAGAAGTAGTTGCACATAGAACTTTCCTTCCATCCAACCCAACATCAACCCACCCACCGACCTTCCTTCCTGCCAACCAATCTTCCTGACCATTGACTGACCAACTCTCCTACCAACCAGCCTACCCTGGAGATTATCATCGGCCCCGCCCACTTCGCCTGCTTTCCTTCCTCTCCGTCTGCCTTTGTTCCTGCCGACCTGCCTTAGCCTGCTCCTTCCCTTCCTGCCAACCTAGTTGCCTCTCGTTCGTGCTCCCTGAGCGCCTACCGTAGGCAAACTCTGTTCTCCACTAGGAAAACAGCACTGAACACGCGCACTTCCCGTTTTCAGGAAACTTACGCTCTAGTCAGGAAAGCCAAATAGTATATAAGCAAGCTAATGCAGAGATGAATAAATGAGTAAATAATTAAGAGATAAATCAGGGACAGAGTAAAAATGGAACTTGCTGTGACACAGACTGGGAAGAGAGATGATCAAGAAACGGCTCTCTGAGGAGGGGACAGTGAAGCTGGAATCCGGATGACAAGCAGCCTACTCTGCAGAACTCTGGGCAGGGGCTTCCCCAGGGGCTGGAGTAGTGGGTCCTCCGGGGGCAGGGGCGTGGCCGTGCGCCAAGCGGAGAGGAGGCTGGCGTGGCAGCGGCAGGGTGCGTGTGTGCAAGAGGGACGTGAGGCGTGGCTGAGGTAGGAGCCGGATCACACCTTCTAGGCCACGGGGAGGGATCTGGATGCGGCTCAAATGTGATGGAGCTTCACCAGCAGGAGCCTAAAGCCATTTTTTAGGGGCTGCTGTGTGGGAACAGACCTCAGGGGAGCAGAGTGGTGGGGAGACACGGCATGAAACACCCCTGATGTGAGCATCTGGGTGGACCACTGGCTTCACAAACAGAAGAGCTCACGGTTTATGGTCTATGTGATGAGAAGACATTAACAACCAGTTCCAGAAAGAGCTCTCAACCTCCTCAAAGACCTGAAGAAGCTAATTTAAAAAGTCTTACAATTTGAACTGACTGGGGAAGATACACAGGAAAGGTCTAAGAATAAAGATTACCTGTAGCCTACCCCAACCTCTATACATCTTTCAGGTAAAATCAGTTATGCACGTACAAAGGCCAGGCTAAGACAATTTCTGCGGAATTCAGTAAATTTTTACACTTGACATTTAACTTGTGCAGAAAGCTCAACCATAGAACTTCCTTGCATATAACACTACACATGGTAAAATAACAAATGAGCTATCATTTCAAATGAAGAATAAAATCAAATATAAACTCTTAAAGTTCACCCATTTTTAGAACTGAGCCAACATGTGTTTAGAAGGAATTATTCATTTCCTTCATAAGGGAAATCTGTCTTCTAACTTTAGAAAACTTGTAACGCATTTTGCCTATGTTGAAAACACATGAGGCTAAATATAGGTTTTCTGGACAGATGTAAAAAATGTTTTAAAAATTTATAAATAGCTTATTGACTATCTCTCACGGATTTATTCACATTACGTTAATTAGACCAATAACCAGTCATGCTGAAGTTGGTACTGCTGTATCACTACCCTAAGGCTCTCTGGCTGTCCTGTCACTATACGATATTGAAATGATACTCAACAGTGATGATTTAAATATCACTTACTTGAATACAATTTTTCCAGTTTTCTTTTGTTGGTTTTTCTTCCACAAGTTTAGTTGCAAACTTAAGGCCTCTCCCATACATTTTATTTACTAATGCATGCTTGTATGCAAATGTCAAAACCTACAATGTAAAACAAGATACAGCTTATCTACAAAATATTTACCTTTTAAGGCATATTGCTTTCATAATGAAAGAATCAAGGTTTTAACAGAAGTGCAACTTTTCAAATAAACATGTTACAG